GGTGCTTGGTACGCAGTGGTTGCTCACGGGATGAACTGTTGAGACTGCTTCTGGAACTCGCGTCCTCAGGCTGTCACATGCCAGGCCTGGAGGCACTCGCTGGGTCCCTGGGTTCTCATTTGTACCCAGCCTCTCCTCCCATCGCTGCCCAGCCTCCTCAGCCGTGAGCGACTCAAGGTCCAGGGCTCAGCCTCTGCAGCCCACCTACGGGCTCCGCTCCGGCCTCCCCGCCCATGGCCTTGGGCAGGCTTCTAACCCCTCAGCACCTTAACAAGGTCATGGGGTTGCCATGGGAATTAGATGGGCACGTGGCAGAGCCCCCAGAACACCCGGGACTCACCAAAGGGCCACAGACCCGTCAAGATCATTACCAGAGGCCACTCCTGTCTCCGCCACGCCACGCCCAAGGGCAGACACTCAGTGACATCTTCTCCGCTTCTTTCACCTTCTCTCTCCTACCCCTCGTCCCCTTCCACTTCTGTCTTCCCCCACTGGCCATTCGAGCAGAGACACCGCTGGCCCTGGAGGCCGTGAGCTGAGCAGCCTCTGCAGGTCCAGGGTCCCGAGCACATGGTCTCTGCTGGGCTGCACCCGGTGGGGGTAGCTCTGAGGAGGGGTGTGGTGACCCCTTGGCCTCACACCCACAGCCCAGGCCACCTGGTGGTGGAAGGGGCCACTGAACAGACTCTGCCCTCGATGACTTTAGGGGCTGCCCGGACTTGGAGAGCAGTACAGGCTCCGCCCCTCGCAGGGCTGCCACCCACCTCCCGGTTCCCCTGGTGAAAACTGCCATCTCTACGTGTAGCCAGGGTCCCTCCTTCCTTCTGTCCAGGAAGCAGAGGGTGCGGGGGTCCTCAACGGTCCAGACGCATGGTCGAGCCCGTGGTAACCTGTGCCTTTGTGTCCCTGTCTCCCGCAGATGACGTGCCGCCGTACTTCAAGACGGAGCCGGTGCGGACGCAGGTGCACCTGGAGGGGAACCGCCTGGTGCTCACGTGCATGGCCGAGGGCAGCTGGCCCCTGGAGTTCAAGTGGCTCCACAACAGCAGGGAGCTGACCAGGTTCTCCCTGGAGTACAGGCAAGACACCCCCCGCCCCCAGACAGCCTTCTGTCCTGTCCTGCGGGGCACTGAGGGCGGGCCACAGGCTCCCATCCAGCCCTGGGGTGAGACACCTGCCCTGCTCTGCCTGGCAGAGGCTGGCTGGGTGCCGGCCATGGTGCTGCCCATACCAGAGTGGACAGGGACAGAGGTGACCGTGGGGGGTCTACTACAGCAGCTGTGGCTGTGGCCCTGGCGCTAGTCTCTGGGAAATGCCCTGTTGGCTCTGTTGGTGGGGCCTGGGTCTGGGGGCAGGGGGAGAGGAACATGCAGCAACTTGGGGTCAGACAGGGAGGTGGCTCCTTCTGTTTGGGGACAATTTGGGTGGTGCATGGAGGTGGCCCACTCAGGACTTTTCGCTCCTTACTTATGCCCAGACTCTGGAGCACTGGGCTCAGCACTCAGCCAAGTGGGGAGGGGCAGGGGGAGGGCAGGCTGGGTTTCCTGCACCAGGGTGGGCGAGGCAGCCCTCAGCCGGCCTGGCCCCAGCTGGCCGCTGGCCCTGCTCAGCAGGGATGTGGCCTCTCTCCCTCTTACCCTGATCCTCCCATCTCAGTGGCTGGTGATTAATCCCCGGGCCTGATGTGCATAATCGGTTTTGTTGGGGAAACAAGATTGTCTTGCCCTGGGGATGTTGATACAGATCCGTGGCCAGGGACAGGAATGCAAATGAGAGGAGGGGGTCTAATTGCTGACGGGGCTGTCCTTCCCAGAGAGCCAGCCTTTCCTTGATGAAGCAGGAGGTCCCAAGTCCACCTACCCTGGCCCTGGACTGGATTGGCTGGTGTGGTGTGGCCACATTGGCCAAGAAGGGAGCAGGAAAGGAGGGAAGGACAGTCCTCCCCTCCTGCAGGGCACCTGGACCGGACAGCAAGGGACCCTTATGTGCTCTGGGCCTATTTCTCCAGGGAACACATAAGTGACCAGAGGGGCCTCCCAGCAGCCTCCGGGATGGTTTTCAGCTGGAGATTCAGTGCAGCTCCTGACCGCAGCCTGGTACCCCTGGGGCAGTTGACAGTCTCTGGAGAGCTTCTCATCCTCCTGGGTGGTGGACGTGCTTGATGGACAACCAAGAGCTTGCAGATGGTGGCCGTGCAGGGTCTCCCCGCCCGCCCTTGACTTCTGGCAGGGAACCGGAGCCGGATCCCAGGAGAGGAGCGTCTGCTCTGTATCTGGGTCAGGGCTCCTCCCTCGGTGCCCTAAACTGCCACCACAGGAGGAGGGTGGGTACCACGCAGGAGCAGAGTCCAGTGCAGCTGAAGCATGGTCTTGGTCACCCGTGGAGGGGGCCGGGCCACCTTTGGTAACAGTCTGCTCTTGCCCCTGGAGGTGTCCAGTTAGTGGTCAGGATCCAACTGTTGGCAGTGATCATCGTCATTGTCAATGAAAGGGAATCTCATAGAGAGGCATTCTGCATGCCCTGCGCCTGTGTCATTTAACCCTGCCCACAACCAATGACCAGGGTCAGTTGTCCTCCACATTTTACAGGTGAGCCAACCTGTAAAGAAATTAAAGAACCACCCCCGCCCCAGGTCAGACTGCTGAGCAGGCATCAGACGTGCGTTTCCTGACGCCCTGTGCCACGCTGCGTCTCATGGAGGACGGATTGCTGCAGCTGCCTCCTTACTGTGTCTTGAGCACTCTTTCTGCTAACTAACTGAGCTTCGCAGATTCTGGAAAACAAAGCAATGGGGAGAATGCAAATATTACATTTTATAGCTGTCTTGGATGGAAGTCATTCAGGAGAAATAAACCAGCTTCCACGTGGAGACTCATCCCTTCGCCTCTGCCACAGGCGCGTTGGCTGCCGTGGCATGGCGATGACGGTGTCCCCGAACGTCCCTGAACTTGGGTCTGGTCAGGGGGTTCCTTGAATCGAACACTTGCTGTGCCCATAAGGTGAGGTCTGCCTTCCTTAGTGTGGCCTCCCGACTCTTCATGGTCCGCTTCTGATGACCTGTCCTTACCTGCTGCTACTTCCTCCACCCCAGGGTAGCACCCTCCTGACACACCCGCCTTTGTCCCTTCCCCTGCACTTGGAAGAACACGCCTTTCAGAGCCTTCTGTCTCCTGCAGCACCCAGCCCAGGTGCCTTCTCTAGCATGCTCTCTCATGCACATATGTGCACACACATGCACACACACACGCCACATGCCCCCCTCGTTCTGTGTGACTGTCCACAACGTGTCCCCCAACATTTATTCCTGCAGTCAGAGCCCTCAGAACCTTGGCAGTACCGGGGACCCCAGGCCTCAGAACCTGGAACCTGACATGCCAGGCCCTCTTCCCTGCAGGCTGTTCAGCTGTGCCCGCCTCTAGGTTTAGAGGTTAGGAACCCCGAGAAGTTCCGGGATCACAGTTACAGACAGCTTTCAGAGCAGAGGAAACTTCCCTACTGGGTTCTGATTGGTCCAGCCCTGGGCATCCCTGACCAATCCCAGTGGGAGTGGCATTCGCATCACAATTGGCCAGGGCACAGGGCACAGGCATGCTCACACCTCAGCTCTGTGGTGGGGAAGGAGAGCAAAGGTCGTTAACAGAAGGGGAAAAAATAGAAGCCACCTGTATCCATTGCCAGTTTGGGAAGGGGCAGGGTGACCCACAGCAGATGCTCTCTCTCTTTCTTTCATTTTGAAAATTCTCAAATCTTAGGAAATGGCAGGTGCGGTGCTGTGACCCCACGTGTGTGTTTGTTCATTCACCAGTTTCCTCTGTGGCTCGCTTTCCCAATCTCCGCATGCACACACATATGCATGCACTATTTTTGCGGAACTATTTAAGAACTTGTTGTGAGCATCCTGTCATTTCCTGTGAGTGGGATTTCCTAACGACAAGGCACTCTCCCACAGAACCACACTCAGGAGACTCAGCGCAGTACTGCCACCTGATACTCGGTCCTCTGCAAGTGGCTTTATTTATCCCGGCAGCCCCTTCTCGAGTCCAGTGTCCTCCTCACTGTTCAATGCAGGAGCTAATCAAGGACACGTGTTGTATTTATCTATCACTATCCTTTGCACCTCTTCAATCTAGAACTCTTCCTCCTTTTATTTTTTTTTTGCCCCCCCCTCCCCGCCCCCGGCCAGGCAAGGCATCGACATACTTGTGAGTCTGGCTAGTCTTGTCGAATTTCCATGATGGTGCCTTTGTGCCGTGATATCCTGATGACTAGGTTCACATTCAGTCTTTTTGGCGACAGTACCCCATAGCTGTGTGTATGTTATGCTTTATAACAGAAGGTGCCTGACATCCAGTGGCCCCATGGGAGGGGAGCCTGGGTTGGATCACTGGACACAACCATATCCACCACCAGATTGCACCATTGCCACGGTCCCGGGGGGCTTCCTTCTCTCTGTAGTGAACTCCTCCCAGGCCTCCCACCCAGGGCTGCAGAAGCCCCAGGTGAGGCTCACCTGCATCATGCTCACATTAGCATTTGCCACTAGGTTCCCATCTCCACTTCCCCTTACAGCAGCAGTCAATCTTCCGTCAAAAGCTTTCTATCCTTGCTCCCTTTATAACTGTTTAGCACGTAGCATATCCTATTTATGTATGTAGATCAATTCATCTAGACCCCTGGCCTCCAGCAAGTGACTTACCTCAATTTCATTGTGGGCAGAAGGCTGATAATAACACTTACATTTGTGTTTATTCAAATGTATGCATTTTTTGCTCAGCGTGTCTGGACCCATTTATGCCATTATACATTTCGACGTTCATAATAACCCCAATTCAACCAGTGGTTCAACAAAATGCTCCAGGTTCAGCTTTTAAATGAATGCACGGTGAACAACGACTTTCAAAGCAGGTTGGCCGGCTCGGCGTCCTGGGGCTCCCAGGCTGCTGGGGGGTTCCGAGGACCTCTTCATCTTTTACACGCCCCAGGCTTGGAGTAGGGTGATGATGTCCATATTTCAGGCAGAGAAATGGCTGAATTTACTCAGCAAGTTGAGAGAAAATGAGATTAGAAGTGCTGCCTTCCATCTAACCACGCTTCCCACCCTGGATCCGAAGGAAGGAGTTTCTGTCCAGGGCCACTGTCTGAGAGTCTTTATTCCTCGTGGGATCTGTCACCAAACACATCTGGGATGTGAGAGAGAGGGAGAGGAAGAGAGAGTCGGTCACTCAAGGGCAAGCCATTCCATCTAAGTACAGTGACACATTGCTTAGTGACTGGGGACGTGTCCGAAGAATGGCATCACTATGTGATGGGAATTCTCTAGCTCCTGGGTAAACTTATGGGACCCCTGAGGCAGACGTAGCCCATCATCAAGCACAATGCTACTATGGAGCAGGTGACTGTGGAGTGACGGTGACGAGTGGTCCTCATCCACTGTTGGGGGTGGAGACTTTGGTCTTGGGCTCCCTGAGTGCAACCCCCGCCCATTAACTCTGTGACCTAGGGCAGCCTAGGACAGCATTATCACCAAGTTGGGTTCCTTGGTAATGCCCACCTCAGGAGTCATTGCAATGATTATGTGAGATTCTGTGGCTCAAGCCCCGTAGACACACTTGGGGCCCAGATGTGGAGTAGATGGCACCCACCAGGATACAAACGCAGGGTGTGTGACTTGGGGGAATCGCAGGACAGATCTGATGACAAGCCACCAGAACTCACAGGGCAGGCGCGTCTGTGTCCTCCACCTGGCCACCTGGGGCTGCACACCTATCCCTGGCCCCCTGCTCCACTCCAGAGCCCTCTCTAAAGCACCTCAATTGGCAAGTGCTCTGAGGGTCACCCTTGTGAGTGACAAATCACTATCCATTCTGAACCCAGCCTTGAATTCTCAGTGTGAGAAATAAAGTGACTCATTGGTGGGTCTGGGTACAAAGTGACATTGAGCCTTAGAAATGAGATCCCTTTTCTTACAAGAGTGGGACATGGCCGGGGAAGATCCTCCCAAAGCTCTTGGTCCCAAGGCCAGCCCCTCCCCTCAAATAGGTGCACAGCCTCACAGTGGGCCCGCAGAGTGCAGGCTGCG